GTCTTGAAAGTCCGGCTGGTCCATGAGGAAGGTGAAGTACCTGGCACAAGACCGCGCGGGAACAGCCAACAGGTAAACAGGTAGAACAGACACACACAAGTGCGCGCCAGCGGGCAGCAGCAAAGCGAGAGAGAGAGAGAGAGAGAGAGAGAGAGAGAGAGAGAGAGAGAGAGAGAGAGAGAGAGAGACAGAGCGGTCTCATGTTTTTTCCGGGCACTGCAAGCTCGAAGTCAGCGTGAAAAGAAGAACAAACAAACAACCACCGCGTAGCGGGACTATGGCACGCGTGCCATGGCTACTGCTTGCGCTTTTTATGGCGCAGGCAGTTGACACAGACGTGGGCATCGTGGCCACGCTGCTGGCCCTTCATGACGGGGCGGAGACAGAGCTGATGCAGCGTGCCCCATCGGTGGCGCACATGTGCGCGCAGTAGCCGCGGAGTGCGAGGTGCTCCAAGGCTTCGGGCGGATCCTGGGGTTCGAACCACGTACGCAGCCCGTGCTTCTGGAGGATGCGAACAGCGGACCAGGCTTAGACGCAGCCACGTTCCAACCGTCACCTGTGGTCCAGGGGCCACGACGGGCGGACTCTGGCCGGATCCCACGTGAGCGCCTCATTGGGGCGGCGCCGTGGCTTCGCGGCGGAGCAGCACGAGCCGGGGCGGGAGGGGGATCTTTCTCCTGGGCGGGCTGGCCAGCTCTCTCGTCGTGGGTGGCAGACGGGGCGGTGGACGGACGGAGAGTCGGACAGCACCGGCTCTTTGTCCGCATGGGACTGGTTCGCGGACCCATAGGCACTGGAAGTGGGCGAGGAAACTGCGGTAGGTCCGGGCGGAGGGTCGGTCAGCTCCAGGAGACGAGCAGCCACCGCAGCACCAGCAAACTTGGTGAAGCGGACAAGGTCGGGCGGGAAAAGGCTTCAGCCAGCTGCTTCCTTCATGAGGGCCTCGAGCAAGTCCGACATGGCTGCGAGGAAAGAACAAGAAAAAAAGCAGGGCAGAACAAAGGAAAGCGGCGGCGAGAAAAAGGAATGCAAGGCGATGCAGGCAGCACAGCGGGCGCACTAAACAGGTCAGGCGGACCAAAGGCGACGAAGCCAAATGAAAGGCCGGCGGGCGTCAAACAGCCAAGAGAAAATGGCAACTGCAGCGTGGAGCCAGAAACTGCGGAGCTGCAGTTGGCCGTTGCGATCCCAAGCCAAACAGCCCAGTGCATGCACAAGACCACCACAACAACAACAACAACAACAACAACAACAACAACAACAACAACAACAACAACAACAACAACAACAACAACAACAACAACAACAACAACAACAACAACAACAACAACAACAACAACAACAACAACAACAACAACAACAACAACAACAACAACAACAACAACAACAACAACAACAACAACAACAACAACAACAACAACAACAACAACAACAACAACAACAACAACAACAACAACAAACAACAACAACCAACAACCAACAGCCAACAACCAACAACCAACAACCAACAACCAACAACCAACAACCAACAACCAACAACCAACAACCAACAACCAAGAACCAAGAACCAAGAACAAGAACCAAGAACCAAGAACCAACAACCAACAACCAACAACCAAAACAACAACAACCAAAACAACAACAACAACAACAACAACAACAACAACAACAACAACAACAACAACAACAACAACAACAACAACAACAACAACAACAACAACAACAACAACAACAACAACAACAACAACAACAACAACAGCAGCAGCAACAACAACAAGAACAACAACACAAAACAACAAGAACAACAAACAACAAAAAACAAACAACAACAACAACAACAACAACAACAACAACAACAACAACAACAACAACAACAACAACAACAACACCAACAACCAACAACCAACAACCAACAACCAACAACCAACAACCAACAACCAACAACCAACAACCAACAACCAACAACAACAACAACAACCAGCAACCAACAACCAACAACCAACAACCCAACAACCAACAACCAACCAACAACAACAACCAACAACCAACAACTAACAAACAACAAACAACAAACAAGAAACAAGAAACAAGAAACACCATACAACAAACAAAAAACAACAAACGACAAACAACAAACAACAAACAAGAAACTAGAAGCAAGAAGCAATAAACAAGAAACAAGAAACAAGAAACAAGAAACAACAAGCAACAAACAACAAACAACAAACAACAAACAACCAACAACCAACAACCAACAACCAACAACTTACAACCAACAAACAACCACCAACAACCACAACAACAACAACAACGACGACAACGACGACAACAGCAGCAGCAACAGCAGCAGCAGCAGCAACAGCAACAGCAACAGCGACAGCAACAGCAACAGCAACAGCAACAGCAACAACAACAACAACAACAACAACAACAACAACAACAACAACAACAACAACAACAACGACAACAACGCCAACGACAACGACAACGACAACACAACGACAACGACAACGACAACGACAACGACAACGACAACGACAACGACGACGACGTCGACGACGACCACGACCACGACAACGACAACTACAACGACAACGACAACGACAACGACAACGACAACGACAACGACAACGACAACGACAACGACAACAACAACGACAACGACCACGACGACGACGACGACGACGACCACGACGACGACCACGACCACGACCACGACAACGACAACGACAACGACAACGACAACGACAACGACAACGACCACGACAACCACGACAACCACGACAACCACGACAACCACAACCACAACCACAACAACAACAACAACAACAACAACAACAACAACAACAACAACGGCGGCGGCGGCGGCGGCGGCGGCGGCGGCGGCGGCGGCAACAACAACAACAACAACAACAACAACAACAACAACAACAACAACAACAACAACAACAACAACAACAACAACAACAACAGCAACAGCAAACAGCAAACAGCAACAGCAACAGCAACAGCAACAGCAACAGCAACAGCAACAGCAACAGCAACAGCAACAGCAACAGCAACAGCAACAGCAACAGCAACAGCAACAGCAACAGCAACAGCAGCAACACGATACGCCATCCACAATCAACAACCAACAATGCACGCTCCACATACCCCAAACTTCAACCAACTAACCAACCCCACTGCCAAGAGCCAACAGGCAAGCAACGCCAGTCTACAACCAACAACAAGCCCTCAGCCCTTACCCGGAACCCATAACTGAAAGCCGCCATCCCACAACAACAGCAGAAACATCAAACCACCACAAAACATTAAATTGCGTCTTCCGTAAATGGGCGGGAGCCGGCCAAACATGAAAAAGGCGTAGCTCAAGGGAATCCATGGAACCTTGAAGCCCTGATTTGCCGCCATGTTGCGCCATGTTCACTGGAAACACCCGCAAAAATCGCCCTTTTGCCAGCGGAGCCCTGAAGTCCGAAGGCCACATGCCCCCAAGTTTCGGAGACATAGAATGCAGTTGGGGGTAGTTCAAAGGCAAATTCAGCCAGGACCATAGTAGCGAAAACTTAGCCATGGTTTGCAATAATTCAAAAACCTGATATGAGGACCGCCCACCCTGGTAAAAGACCAACATCATTGATTTCGCTCGTTTGAACTGCTCGAAACCCATGAGTTGCCCTCATATGGGCACATGTTTGTTTGCAGGGACACCAAAAGCAAAACCGAACCCATGTGTCCCCAAATTCCTTTGCCACAAACATGTTCCCCCGGCTCAAGCCATAGGGCAAAGGTAGAAGGTCAGCTTGATGCCGCCCGGAATCCTTGCAGGCCACTCCGGCTCAGCCTGATGGCCCGGTCAATGGATTCAAATGGGCTCCTGTCGGATGCCAAGAGCACCGGAACCAGGAGAACTACAACCCTGGTTGATTAACAGGGGGTTGTCGCAATTAATCCGCCAAAGTCATCAATCCGGGTCAACATTACTGGAAACTAAGCTGGCCATCTCAGCCCAGGGTTGCCCGCCACTTGCCAAGGGGCCCAAAATTTCAGCTGCCGAGACTCCAAATCAGGAAGGTTGGTCCGGACTAGACTCATCCAACCAGCACGGCAACAACGGAAAGCGACTGCCCTGATCTGTGGCAGCATGGGTGCAAAGGGAAAGCAAGGGAAGGCAAGGGATCGCGAAGGAAAGCAAGCAAAGGAAAGGGAAAGCAAGGAAAGCAAGGGAGAGCAAGGCACAGCAAGAACAGCCTACAATTCGGGACCTACTTTCCCATGTTTGTGTTGCAGGGAGAACCCTCCCACCACCCAATCTGGAAGTGACCAAAACTGTTTTATTGCAGGGCAACTAAAACTCCGCCACCCCATTTGCAAAGGAATCTCCTTCCCTTCCGCTCAGGTTCCACATGCCTATGACTTTTTCATGGAGCATTTGGCGGACATCATTTAGGTGCAAATTCATGTCTACCAACCCTTTTGAGGGGTGGTCCCCAATTTCCATAGCCACATCTCTGTTTTGTCTAGGGAGCCTTTGCTTCCTTCTCCCAACGGACCGAAATCCGACCGCACCTGCGCTGGGCTGAGTGAAGCCGTCGGCAACCGCTCGGCGCCGTCGGCACGCCTCCGCGAGAGGCTCTAAGGGGTTCCTAGAACCCCGTGCGGGGCAGGGAACCCCCAAAGAAAACACTGACAAACAACAAGAAGACAAAGAGGATTCTTGAAGCAGATATGGTGGCCAAATTGAAAACCACCTTTGCCAGCTGGTTCAAAGGGTTTCTACATGTGTATACCAGGTGATTTTCAGGTGCAAGCTATCCGCATAAGTAAGGGCTATCCGTACCTCCGGGAAATGTGACTGAAGTCGCTCTATGAGAAAATAAAGCTGCCCTATGAGAAGCTTCATGGCCGTCGATCCCCCCCGTTTTTGAGGTTGCGATTTGTGAGTTCAAAGCCCTGAACCAGGCCAGGGTTCAGCCTTCAACTTTTGGGAGCTGTTGGTGTTGGACACGCCCAACATGAAACCAAAATCCCCCATGCCGGACTTCCCCCTACCACCTTCATCACAAAGAAAAATTGGTCGAAGCCCTTGAGGCAATGGCCGGAAGTTGCGGCACTATCTTTTGGCTGGACCACTGTTTGCTATTCAAGGGGAGGCCAAAAGGGAAGCCATTTCAAGGCACCGAGTCATTTGAGGAACAGTCAGGTTGTTTGAAGTTCCGCAGCCAGCCCCGACGTTTTCTCGAAACTGAGTCCCTTGGGCCCTTCTGCACCGCTACTGCTCGGAAAATCCCTGGTGCCCAGGTGTCCAGTGGCCAAAAAAGGATAGGATTCAAGCGTCTATCCACCAAAATAAGGGCCATCCACACATATCACCCAAAGCCACAAACATGGAAGTGCAAAGACATTTGAGCACTGCCGTTTGTAGGAGGAAGGGTACAAATGCCTCTTGTTGCAACCCCCCTGGTGGCGCCGCACTTTTGCATGCAGAACTACTGCGGATGCACAAAATCAACGTCGCACTGGATGGGATGGATGAAACACTAAAGAACCTTGCCAAATTACGTCACGTTTTTCATAGCCCCATATAGTACCAACTGATGCCAGGCGTGGAGTTTGCCCATCCACAGCCCAGCCCAGCGCCAGGGGTAAAACGGGCGCCCTTTGTGGTAGTTGATTTTCAACCGGAACGTTTGGGTTTTGGAGCATGGAGGCTACATACCACTTATACAAGGGGCATTCAAGCTCATGTTTGTGGCATTTGCTCACAGTGTCCTCAAGACTTTCCTCAATATATGTTTGACTCATTGACACCTGGGAGAGGCCGGACGTCGGAGGCCTCACTTTGCCGGTCAACAGCCACTCGGGCGCCACCAGCAAAGCCATGTGCATCAGCAGCCGCCACACGTCCACAAAGAGGCCTACCCGCGTCCCCGCGTCCCCGCGTCCCAGCGCCCGGACGACACCGCACCCATCCCCATTGCCAGTTGATCACATTCAAGCGGATTGTTTTACTACCAGAAAGTGGCACCAATTTCCAGTTTTCCACAAATATTGTGGATTGGTTCTCTTCTGGAACCAAGACTGGGAGAAACGCTTGAAATAACCCATGGTCGGTTTCGTACGAATCATCAGGACTGTGTCGTTGGACATGGGTCGGGAAAACCCAACTCATTGCCCGAGGCCGGCACAGAGGGCGAGCACATCGAAGAAGGTGCCCACGCCTGCTGAGCGCGCAGGTGTGGGCGCAAACGCAGCCACAGGTTCAGGGGGTTTGTGGACGGTAAGATTCCCTGAAACCCGGTAAACCAAGCACAAGCCATACAGGGCTTTCCTGTTTTCCAACTTGCAGCTGTTAGACCACAGTTACCCCTGCAAGAAAACCATGCGAAACCGAGTTGAGAGAAGCAACCATGCATGCCAGCACGTGTGGATTAAAAGCAGTCACAAAATATTCATGAGACCAACCCTTCGGAGGCCCTAGGGCCTAGGCTCGCCAAGGTATGCGAGCAGTTTGACCTCTTGTTTCATTTCAGGTGTCAAATCACCATTCCTGCGACTGTTTTTCACAGGGAAGCCAAATTAAAACCATCGCCATTTGAAGCCGTCCAGAACAACTTCCTTTGGCTGAACAGAATTGTCCAACCCGCCCCCCAATCCTTGCAGTTGCCCGACAACTCAAGCTCGGAAAGCATGCAAAGCCAAAGTTGCCTGAGTTGTCTTCCTGTTAGCGGCTCTCCCTGAACAAGCCCAGCCCATAGCCCCTCTTCGGGGTCCATGATCCAAGGCGAACGCCCCGTGTTCGCTGCCTGTAAACCCCGTGGCATAGGACTTGGTCAGGAAGAGACAAATTCCAAGCCTCGATAGGCCGGCCGCACAGGTTCCGGTAGATATGGAGGGCAAAGCTTCAGCACATCCCATGGGTGAGCTCACTCTAATATGAGCTGATAGTTTGAACACCAGAAAACTGCCCCGCATATACAAGTGTCAAAATATATCATTCCTGTATCCAACCCTTGATCCCTTTGAAACAGCCCGCTTAGAGCCCCGCAATTTCGGGCAAGCCTGCGCTGCCTGTCCTCAACCCCAAATGCGGTCACTGGAAACGGTGTTCGGCTTTGGGCCCACCAGGGCTAAATTTTCAAGAACCATCATAGAATGGATGGGGAGACGGATGAATTCACCTCAAACCTTGGGACCTTTCGGGCGATGACGCGCAATGGATGCGTCAATAGGCCGAATTTGTTGGTCAACGCGCTTTAAAGGGCCACGCACATCCAGTGTCGAATGCGAGGTTCACTACCTTACGGAGCATAGAAAGATCAAACGTTACACATCTCACTTTGCAGGTTCCAAAAACCAAAAACTTTTCCTGCGAGTCACTCTCGAGCGCCCTCTTGTTCATATGGGGGAGAACCCAGTGGCTGAGCAAGTAAACACTTGGCAACGCACAAAGACACTTCTCTTGTCCCCACGTGCAGGGGGTGCACGTAGATGTACAATGCATCTATATATATATATATTCATGCATATGTAGATGTATGCAGATGAATACGTATACGCATGTATGTATGTATATGTGTATGTGTATGTGTGCATGTGTGTATGTGTGTGTGTGCAGGTGTATAGGTGTGTAGGTGTATGTGTGTATGTGCGTGTGTGTGTGTGTGTGTGTGGTGTGTGTATATCTGCATGTACATGTATATGTGTATGCATATGTGTATCTATGTGCGTATGTGTATGTATGTGTGTATGTGTATATGTGTATGTATGAGTGTATGTGTGTATGTGTGTATGTGTGTATGTGTGTATGTGTGTATGTGTATGTGTGTATGTGTGTATGTGCGTATGTGTGTGTATGTGTGTATGTGTGTATGTGTGTATGTGTGTGTATGTGTGTATGTATGTCTGTTTGTATGTATGCATGTCTGTATGTCTGTATGTCTGTATGTCTGTATGTCTGGATGTCTGTATGTCTGTATGCCTGTATGTCTATATGTCTGTATGTCTGTATGCATGTATGTATGTATGTCTGTCTGTCTGTCTGTCTGTATGTATGTATGTATGTATGTGTGTGTATGTATGTGTACGTGTGTGTATGTATGTGTGTGGGTATGTATGTATGTATGTATGTATGTATGTATGTATGTATGTATATGTATGTATGGTAGGTAGGAGTAGGTATATGTATGTATGTAATGTATGTATGTATGTATGTATGTATGTATGTATGTATGTATGTATGTATGTATGTATGTATGTATGTATGTATGTATGTATGTATGTATGTATATATGCATGTATGTATGTATGTATGTATGTATGTATGTACGTACGTATGTGTGTAGGTATGTATGTATGTATGTGTGTGTGTATGTATGTGTATGTATGTGTATGTATGTGCATATGTATGTACATGCATATGTATATGTTTATGTGTAGGTGTAGGTGTATGTGTAGATGTATCGTATGTGCATGCGTATGTGTATGTGTATGTGTATGTGTATGTGTATGCGTGTGCATGTGCATGTGCATGCATGCATGCATGCATGCACGCACGCACGCACGCACGTACGCATGTGTGTACGTATGTGTGTGTGTGTATGTATATGTGTGTAAGTATGTGCATGTGTATGATTCGCATATGTATATGCTTATGTGTAGGTGTAGGTGTAGGTGTATGTGTATATGTATCTGTATGTGTATGTGTATGTATATATACATATATATATATATGTATATGTATGTGTACGTGTATGTGTATGTGTATGTGTATGTGTATGCATGCACGCACGCACGCACGCACGTACGTACGTACGTACGTATGTATGTATGTGTAAACATCTATATCGGAACCTAGGTGCCAGCTTTGCAAGTGCCACGGTTTCCTCTGGCAAGCGACTGGAACCAAGTTGTGTTTTGTGGACCCTAATTTCAGACTGACCTCAGTGGACCACATCTATGCCGCTGGAAAGAAAGAAAGAAAGACAGAAAGAAAGGAGCAAAAACTGCCAGGCCCAAAAAAAAACGGGTTCTCAGCAGGGAATGAAGGGGAGTTCCCATAAGGGAGTGCCCAGGTTCATTCTCAACACCCTGGGTCATTCCGAACTGAGCACCAGCAAGACAAAGGAGCTTTGCTCGCGCCAAGGGGCGAGGGCAGCACGGCCAGCATCCCCAGGAACCGCAACAAAAAGCTGGAGGTGGCCTCGGGGGAAAATTTGGCGGCCAGCTGTACCAAGCATTTAGGGCCCAAAACACCTCTTTGGATCTATGAATCGCTGTTTTTGTTCACCTCCTTCTATGACCTTTTGGCTTATGGGCCATTTTGGGCAGCCAGAAACATCCTGTAGAGACCTCCAGCTGACCTGGTTTATGGACAACAGCAAACAGCCCGTTGTTGTTTGACTTCTGGCTTGTGGGCAACCAGAACCCTACATTTGCAACCAAAACACAGCCTGTGTTGGCCTGACAGCAAACTGCATGACTCACAGTCTGAAGCGGTAAGACGAGCTGACAATCTCCATGTGAAAGCCCAAGCAAGAGCAACATAACCCTCTGAAGTTGTGGCATGCCCAAGGATGTGCTTCACGTCAAACACCTTCGCAGGGGCTGTGCAAGCTCTTGTGGAGGCCCGGTCCAGCTGGACTCGCCCATCTGTGCTAACCTTCCTCGACAAGCAGCCAGCCCCCAAAAGTCGCAGCCCGCCAATCATTTTGTTCGTTACCCATGTGCTGCTGGACCCTCACCCAACATGGACGCGTTTGAACCCTTGGAAGATCATATCCTCTTGACCCCCCCAGCCATGCACAAATGTGCACTCCTCTTTTAGGCAGTTGACTTTAAGCTTTAAAGGGAAACCCCCTTCCAAAAAAGGAAGCGGCGAAGCAACTGGAGGTCTGGTTTTTTCGGGCCTTCTGCAAGTGCACGCGATCCGCCCGAACGTGGGTCCCTGGCCGGATCCTCTGCTTCCTGCGCCGCCGAGCGAGGGCCTGGCTTGCGCTCTCCCATCCCACAAGCCCAAGAAAATTTGGATCTGTCATGAGAATACCATAGGTACCCTTGGATGGGGGGTGGCTTGAAGGTGGGAGTAAACCAATCAACCTGTTGGAAAGCAACCAGGCACAGCCTTGCTCAGCACTTGCAGTAACGTAATCAGGGTTAACCAGGTTTCGACGGCACTACGGATTCCCACAAGTGCAAATCAAAGATTGTCCTGCGACTGTCGTTCATGTTGCGTGGTGTTTGCCTCTGAAAAGAAGCAGTAGGAATCCTGCTTCTTGTTCCTATTTGTCCCGGGGGGGGGGGCCAAAAGTCAAGTCATCATCTTGCGGAGGAGGGGTTAAGATTGGATGAGCCACAGAGGTGTCCATTTTGCAGCGTGCCATGCCTAGTGAAACATTGATGTGGGCCACAACTCAAGGATTGCGGCACTGCATATACCCTATTCAAGTATATGCCCTGGACCAAAGTTCTCCGCTTTTCACAAGTATCCTGATCAACTACAGGTGGCATGTTGAGAAGGTGCCTTGGTCCCTCTTGTGGCGTTTCTTTCGCCTCACTTCCGCTTTCGGTGTGCGCTCTCCGTTCCAACAAGTATGGTCGCCAAAGATGACTCGACAAGGATTCACCTAGATCCAACAAGTACAGCCTGTGCTGGGGTCGAGAATCGGACAAACAGTGGCCTTGCCAAATCCAACAAGAACGCCCAGCAAAATTGACAAGCATAGCCTACACACCCTGTCTCCTTTTGGCATCGAACCCTTTTTCCGGGGGCCTTCTGTTGATTTGCAGCGGAGTAGTCTTCTCATCTCCCAATACCATCCGTCACGCGCCCCTGGCACCCTCCTAAAATCCAACCATACTCTCGACGCAACAGGAATCCAAGAAGGTTTCCACTTCCCCCCAAGTGTTTCCAGCCGAAATTGAGATATCTACCCAATATATCGTGGATTCTGTACCCAATTCTCTTGAGGGGTAGCAGGCTTGCAAGGTCCCTCGCGCCTTGCCCAGTCGTGTCGGCGCCCTGCGCGAGCGCAGCAAATGACAAGAACAAATCTGAAACCGCCATCTAATGCCCACCCCTTTCAGGACAGCTATAGATTCCCACCCCCCCCAAACCAACCAACCAACCAACCGAAAAATAGATGCCAAATTGGAGCCAACACACCCCTTTATCCCTGTCCCTGGCAGTCTGCAGTCAGCGGTTCAGAGTTTGAAGAGAATGTCCAAGAAGTCAGCTTCAGGACATTCTGCAGGAAATCCTTGCTCTTGGTGAGTATTTGGCAAGTTTCCTGTAGAATCTCCTACAACTGCCTTGCTTCCGATGCCACCTGCTGAATTACATACCAGAGCATGTGAAAGGCTTGAAGGATTTGGCAGGGCATCATCCAGAAACTTATGCTCGAGGTTTTTACCTGCAAATGTCACAAGGAGAAAACATATTTATTCATTGCAAGCCATCACTAGAGATCTGCCAAGCCTGCAAATCGCCAGGCGAAGCAACATCTGACCATCTCCCTCGATGATCTGGAAAACGGTTTGGATTTTTTGGATTTGTTTCTTGCGGATGTCACCTGTCATTCCCCTGTTGGTCCTTTATTAGTAATCTGTTGATACTTTTTTAAATCCTGCAGGGGTGGATCCACAAAAACCACATCCAAATATTTTCTATTGTAGCACCTGGTTCAATACTGGTACCCTGATTTCTGTCAAGTGTCCTCGGCCTAAAAGCGACCTGCCTCCCCCCCACTGCTTTGGTACCATGATTTACGTCAAGTGTCTGTTGCCGGAAATCATTCCATGCAAAAGCACAGGCAAAACAAATCGGGCAAAAAGATCACCGGGCAACTAGATCCAAGCAAACAATGGAAATTTATGTTTCCCCAGATGATGTTGGACAAGCTTCAATGCCAGCACCCTGTACTGTGAAAAACGTTCTCCGTAACTCAGGATCCCGTGACTGCTTTGTGGTCCTCAATTGTGACAAGTTCTTGCCGGAAAAATATGCTGGGAAAAAATCTGGGCAAAAAAACAACTGGCAAAAAACATCTGACAAAAACGGGCAAACACCTCTGGGCAAACATTTAGGAAATCTTTTTTGACGTGGTCCCCAAACCATCAAATGCAAGATATTTTCTTTACAAAAAAGTGAGGCAAACAATGACACAAGGGGGATTGCCCACGGGAGGCCCTGATCCTCTTTATTGTGTCCGTTGGGGGGGTCCTTTTTAGCGTCCAACTAATTGATTTCGTTTCTTTTTTTGGTGTGGGGAGGGGGGGGTTGCTTGAATTCAGATAAAAGCCTTGCTTAGCCTTTCACAGTACAAGGGCGGCTCACCTAAACAAGCTCTTCCCAGCTCAACCCTTGAATCATGGGGGCGCCAAACCATCAAATTTAAGACAATTTCTTGAGAAATTGTTGCCGAAAACACTCACACAAAGGGGGTTGCCCATGGGACTCCACGTCTCGGTCTGCAGCAGCACCCTTCAACAGCACCTTGCAGCAGCACCTTGCAACAGCCTTCTGCAGCAGCATCCTGTGTTCAACTCTGAGTCTCGGCGCCCTGCAACAGCACAACAGCACCCTGCAACAGCACCCGGCGCAACTTAAGTCTCGGTCTGTGCCAGCGCCCTGCAACAGCACCCTGCAACAGCGCCTTGCAGCAGCACTTTTGTGGCTTCCCAAAGCCCGTTCAGCGCGCTGGCATCCATGCGTGGATGGTCAGCCCAGGGTTACCTCAACCAATTGCAGCAAGCTCTGAACATGTCCAGCCAGATCAGCCAGGAAGCTTTTCGACAGCTATGCAAATAACATGTCTGAGTTCTGCCTAGTCACATTCGCGAGGGCTGCTGGCAGATACACAAGAGCACGGTGGCATGCGAAAGGCGGGCCAAGGCATCCGCTTCGGCCATTGGGTCCCAAACACTCGCATCTTGCTGCACTGCAGGGTGCAGGGACCAAGAGGTTTGCACGGCGGGCTGGACGGCCTGCACACTGCTCGGCCTGCAGCCCCACAGTGGGCTCAGATGCGGGGCTCGCAGGGGGATCTGCTTTGGTGCAAAGCACCGGAACCATGGCGGCGACGAAGAGCCACATGGCTCCGCTACCAGGTGAAAATGAAAGCAAAGAGGCCAAACAGCGGTCTTTTCCTGCTTGCGAACCTTGTAGTGCTTGTCTTGCTCATGGGCTACGTTCTGTACAGTGAGCCACAGGGCAAGGCGGTGCATGGTGTCGGCCCTCAACTCCCAAACCATCAAATTTAACATCACGTATCTATTTTCTCTTCTGCTTTAAATCTATATTTTATTGTTTTGTTTTAACCAACAAAAAGAGCAAGCCCAATCAGCCATGCCCACACGAGCCAGCGATCCTCTTTAGTATGACTGTTTAGGGGTCTTCTCTGATGTCCTTATCCAAGTACTGGGAAATCTAACAGCCAGTCCTGGCAATACCACATATAATCTGGGCAATACTAAACCAAGCACTGGGAATCTAAAAGTAAGTTCTGGCAATACTAAACTTAGACTAAGCAATACTAAACTGAGTTCTGGCAATCCAACAGGAAGTGCTTGCAATAAACTAAGTAGTGGCAATACAAAAGCAATGCTTAAGTCATCCAAGCTCCCTGCCAGACCCCTATTCAGGACCCCTGAGCACTGGTTTGACTGTTGAGGGGAAGGGGGGGTGGAGGCACACTAAACAAGGTCCAACATTTGAGATGAGGCTTGTGGCTCTCGTGGCACCCTCGAAAAACCGGGCAGTCCCTTTTTTGGCCGTGATGTGCACGGATCGACTTGATCTTTCTGCTCCGAAACCCCTGCGCTGAAAGGCGGATTGAGTTGAGAGCTAGCCTGGCAGGGGCATAGACACTAACACCAATCTTTGTATGTGTGCCAGGGCCCCAAGGCATTCAAAGTTGAGAGACTGAACCGAAAGTTCGACATACCATTCAAAGGACAGCCTGAACTATTTGCAAGTGCGAGTTAGGGGCACAAGTGTTTGATAATAAGAGCCCTCTTAGACTCTTGCACTTTGCCTATAGCTTGCTGCTCTCCACTTGCATTTGTTGGGAAATCATGGCAGTCTAATGGGCAAATTCTTCAAGCCGCGCCTGTCGGGACCTCATAGATTTCCAAACCAATAGGTTGGTCTCCAAGTGGGGAAGCTCCGCAAAAGGAGGGTTGCCCCTGTGGTTCCTGCTGAAACAGAAAGATAGCCTGACTAAAAACGCACCCTCAAATAGAAGGAACCTTGAAGAACCTTCTCCCTGAAGTGAAATGGTACAAACTACAAACATGTGACTAAAAGGATGGGCTATCTCCAGCAGGTCAGAAATTTATGTGGCTGGCTCCCACGGACTTCTTTGCAAGTCTGCAAAACACACAAGGGTTCAAGTCTTACTTGGCAACCCTTTGTTGGGCATCATTTTTACATGGGAACCTTTGCTCACCAACATCTTGAGTATATGACCAAACGGCTTGTACAGGGCTGCTCCCCTGAAGCGCCAGCTCTGGAAATCAACAAACATACCTCATGCCCCAACCGATAGTAACATGTTTGATTCCGGTCTATATTCTGTCGATCTGGCAAAACAACTGGCAAACAACTTCAAACGAGATCCCACAAAAGGGTCGATCCGTTTGAGCAACTGAGCTGACTGACTCAAACCACCCGCCTCGGGACGGCCGCCCGTGCCCCTGGCACGAGACGACTCGGCCCCTAGTGGCCATGCGGAAAAGGGCTCGATTTTGCTTTGGGGGGGCAAGGTCGTAGTTTTGGTTGGTCAAAAAACAAAGAAAACCAACAAACCAGCCGTTTTGGGGGTGCCTCAAATGAGACGAACCAAGTTTCAAACCATGTCAGGAGCCCCACTGGTCCATAAGGGTGGCTGTCCATGCAGGAGACACTTCCACTGTTTGAGCATCTGCTTCTTCGAGTTGGTACCATTTGGGGGGTCCAAACCAGGCTCTTCAACTGGTTGGCGCTTCCCCCCAAAAGCAAAGAGTCCGTTTCCTGTGGGTTATGGATGCTTCCAAGAGAACTGGAAACCCCCCACTTTGAGGTTTCAAGCGAGCGCAAACCAAAGGAAAACCGAATCACTAGCCCACTGCGGGTTGCTTCGAGTACACTGATTTCTTTAACTCTTGCTGGCTTGGTAGTGCCCCCTCGGGGCCCGCATTTTTTGGGGAGAAAATGTTGCAAATGGAACCAGTCAGGGTTCATGTTTGTTTTCGGGAGGGTGAAACGCAAAGCCTTTCCATTCTTTTTTAGAAATCCTGATTGACAACGTCACAGATACAGAAATCCACCAAGCAACCGCTGTGAAGTTCGTCAACCCATCATAAGAAGAAAAACATAGAAACGGAAACAAACAAAAAGCGGTTCCAACGCGTCTTCAGACCCCAGTGCCTGACACCTGCATTGGCTTGGGACTTTACTATTTCCCAAAACGAGGCACCAACTTGTAACAAAATCCGGATGTCTTTCGGCTTCCAACAACGAGTCGTACCGGGGGTCTGTATAGCAACCCCCCCCCTATGGGGTCTGGGATGCCCCGTTTTGAGGTAGAGAACACATGCAGCATGTGTCAGAACTTCCCAAAAGCGGTATCGCTCGGTATCCAACAACAAGCCCGGAACCTTTCCGCAACCCGAAAGCACCCGCCGAAGCGCTCCGCATCTGCGGATGCCAAAGCTTTCAGCTGCCACAAGCTCATGTGTGTTGTGTTGTCAGTGGGCATGTAGAGATCGCTTGGGTTCACTTGCGGTGTCTTGGTTCCGTTCCCCCATATGTCCAATTCAGAACCTGGAAGCAGAAACAACACTTTACAAATGGTAGTAATTATCCCTGGGTCCGAGTCCCATTTGGGCATGTGCCAAAATGATCTTGGTTTTTCTATGTTTTTCTTTTGCCCTTAAACCAAGGTGAAGGGGGTACCCGCAAAGAAAAGGCACGCTTCACCTTTCACGAAGCCCGCGTCACGCGAAGGCCCAAGCCTGACGCAATCGAAGAGCAGGAAGACCAAGAGGTAGCAGGCGACGCTCACGTTCCAAGGCACTAGGCCGAACCTCCGAACTGTGATTCAGCTCACCCAGTTGATCAGTGAATTTTATGGTACGGAGGGTGGTTTCCATGTCTCACGTGACCCAGTTGATCAGTGCCTGTTTATGGTACGGAGGGTGGTTTCCAGACCTGTCCCAAATTCTTCCCCCACACACACATGGAAGTGCATAGGAGGGCTTCACTTCCACCTTGAGAAGGGACCGGGGGACTGGACCAAAGGGCGATTTCCTGTTGATGCGGATCACTGTTCGGGGACGCCGAAGCATCTATGCGCCCCCAATCCCTGGACATACCCTGTGGCCGGGCTTAACAGTGTCGCATCAGTTCCAGTTTTCATGGGGAACCACCTCAGAAATGCTGCCGACCAAAGGGTCTCCTATTCAACTCACTCCCAAGCTTTCTTCCCCTGTTCAGCTCAGGCCCGCTGAACCGCACCTCAATCTGAGGATCAGCTGGGATTTTGTCCGTGGCAACAAACAAAGAGCATATGTGCTGACGCTCATGCACACCACACAGCTAACAAATGGGAATGTTCAAATTGCCACCTACATTGTCTGTCAAAAGGTGCAACTGGCGTTGGGTGCGTGCCCCAACCTCCAACAAGCATTGAGTCCGTGGTAGCCTCACGGCAAACGAATGGCAAGTAATTTTTGCAGCCGGCTTTGTCTCAAATCGGGGAACCGCGATCTGTGCCCTGCCTTTCTTGGCTGTCCATTAAAACAAGCCCAACACACCACTGCATCCAATCTGAAACACCCCAACATTTAGCCATATGTAGCCCGGTTTGGTATATACCGGTATATTCCCTGCAGGGCCCAGGTAAAGAAACGACTTCAGGGATGAACATCCGGCGATGAGCAAAAACTTAGCGGGTGTCTACGTTCTCCGAAAACCCATCCCGAGCGAGCTTCCACTAAAGAGTGGAGCCCTTTTTTTCAAGCAGTCTATTAACAGGGCTCCCGAACTCCCAAACCAGAAGCGAGGCATCTATCCTTGCAGCTTGCACCTTAACTGCGCCCTTCCGGATCCAAGCCGCAGGAGGTTCGTCACCACGCGATAGGCTGGGTCATCGAAGTACCGGATGCAGAAGGCAAAGACCGCGGCTGCCTTACATCTTTCGTTTTCAGAGCCCAAACAAGTAGATTCGGTTTGTGGGGAACCTTAAATCAGCTTCCCCAATTGGTTTGGCTGGTTTAGTGGTTAAGGAGGGATTTTCCTCCATTCAGCGTCTATGAGAACCAGAGGCCAAACTGCTAACCACTATGCAATTAGCTAACCCGGGCCCACAAGCCTAACTAAAACTGAAATCCACTTGGGTGCTCCTCATGCCTAGCCATAAATAAGGAAGCCCTGATGAGTTCCTGCCGCAAAAAAGAAAACAAAGAAGGAACCCCTAATTATTTTTGTTAATATTTGACGCCAGTGTCTTTGAGCATGGCGTGCTTTGTTCATGCTTCAGAGTTGACCGGCTTTTGCAGTTACATGTCCTTTTTGGCAGACAGGAACATGATGTCGTTTCTGTTCAGGCTCTGGTGTGTTGGAAAAGGGAAAGCCATAGAAAGGGACTGCGAACTCCTTTTGTGACATCCTCTTGCAATTGGAAGCACATCGACGGCATGATGTCTCTGAGCTCTGGAGGGTGACAGACCTTTGCTGGAGGCCTGCAGAGGCAGAAGAACTTTTCGGACGTGGCTTGGAGTGATTGAGTGCAGTGCAGCTGGCAGCGCGTGCGACTACCTCCTAGCTCGCCTGTTTTTGACGAGGATCCGGCGGAGGAGCCCCGCGCTCCGAGGCGTGTGAGAAGCAGTGGCCCCTCTGTGGTTGTTTGTCGTCTCCCGAGATGAGTGCCAAGATTGCAGAGGCAAGAAGAAAGCCGCTCAGGTCTTCAGGGCCAGGCAGCCGGGGCCGGAACGAAATGGCACTGTATGCTCTGCGTAAAACTAAGCTTTTCAAGCCCCCCCGGAAACCCCCGCCAGGCCAAAAGGATGGGACGCAGAACGTCAATTATAAGCGGGAAGCGTTTTCCAAATCCATGCTGAAGGGTTGATGACCATACCAGCCCCAAGCAGGTCGTTTGACCATGGCTCAGACAAAGAATCGCAAGGGTGGCCACTTCTATTGAAATGCCCCCGACTAGGCCTAAGCTCCAAGTGCCTAGGCTTGGCTTTGGCTCGCGTAAAAAAAATAAATAAATCCAATTTAGATCTATCGAGGAAAGACTTTGACCTTAGGCAGCCAACCCACAACTCTAAATGCAAAATCTACAATTGACATGCCAGCAAAGGGGATCCGCTGAGACGGAGATGAAAAACAGCACATGCGAAAGTGTGCTAGAACTAACAGGTTGAATGTATGAATCCACACCGATCCATACCCTGCCCTTGCTTCAATGCACGCTGCCTTTGTCATGATGACCATCTGTCAAAAGGCGTGTGTCCCATGAAGTCAATGGCGTGAAGGGCAAAAGAACGCACTTCTTGCTCGCTTATCTTTGCTTATGGTGGGCGAAACGCCCCATCTGCCTGCAAATGAACCCATTGACTTCGGTGCCTCGTTCTAAGCTCAAAACAAGTTGAAAAGCCAAGCAATACAAGTACTAAAGAATTGGAAGATAAGCATGACATGGTTAATAAAGAAAATAGCATATTGAAAGAGCAAGTGGAAAGATTAAACTCAATTAGTATGGGTGCAAGTACAACAAGGATTGATTTAAGTAAAGATATTCGTGAACATGTTGGTGAGATTGGCAGTCGTCGAGTAGTTCTGACACATGGCTATGCAGGGCCCTAAGCGGGCCGGGCGTTTACGGGAGCCGAGGATTTCCTTCTGTGTGATTCATTGAGCGCGGCACGTAGCCCATGAGGATAAGGAAGACCAGCCAATAGTGGAAAGGAGCGCACACCTGGCATCAAGCGCGCGAAAACAAAACGTGCCCGAAGCATTCCCCAAGAGACATGCTACCTGCATCCAGTCGTTGCCACCATGCGTGCTTTTGCCCTCCCTCCAATCACAAAATTTAACAGAGATGCGCTGCAAGACTATCTGTTGTCTCGCCATTGGTGCTTCCCAGACATCCAACCAAAGGGCAGTGCCCTCATCTGGAGGAAACACCCCTCGAATAATCCACCAGGTTGGTTCAACCTGGGTCGATAGTACTCCCTGCAAAGTGAACGTGGAACCCAAAACGGGGGGTCTCTCAAAAGATGATTCCTCTTAGGATCTTCCTGAACGGGGTAGGGGCACCGACTAAAGTTTCTGCACAAGGCTTTCTCAAAACGAAGAGCGCCCATGAAAGCAAGGCACCTGTTTGCACGCGGACTCCCAGCATTTGTTTTTGTAAATATAGAATATGTGAATGTGGATATACAGACATACATGACATATCTTACATACATGTGCGTCAAGTATTCCCACACTGAGTGCCACTCGATTCTGACCAGCCGTGGGATCCACAAATCCGAAAGAAAGCGCCAAACACAAGGAAGCCGGTAACGGGCAGCGGGTCAACTGGCTCTATGTGTCCCAGTGACTCCATAGTCAGTAACCAAGGGGTAAACCTTTAAAACCGGAAGGAAAATGGCTGGTTGCCAAAGTGCCAACTGCGATCCACTGCGCGGGCATAGGAAGTCAGCATGAAAATACCTGGGGTCAAACTGGATGTCTTGACACAGTCCCAAAATCTCCCACCGGAACAAACCATTCAAAGTGCATTCTAAAGCACCAAGCAGTCCACCGAAGCCCAAACTGTATCAAACACGAGCAAAATCAAACAAACCAGTTTCCGCTGGTCACTTCAGGCGCTTTGTTTGCATTGGCTTCATTCTGACAACTAAATCCCCTGGCAAAAATACAACTTGTGTCTAGTAGGGCCAACAGGGGAGATATGTTTTGCCTGTAATGCAAATGAAAGGAACTCGTCACCTCGTTCTTCAGCACGAAGGTGGACACAAGGCCCACCGTGACCGTGGCCAAGGCAGCGAAGAGCATGGCGAAGCCTGCCTAGACTCGGCGACGGAATTGGAGATGGACCCTGTTTGGCTTGTGGTTCAACGAAACTCACGGCTGTGAGGATCCCTCATTTAACCGGCTTGTACTCAATTTGCTTCATCATGGAATATGTGCTGCATTCTTTTGAGTGTACCCGAAACTTGAGTGCTCAACTTGGGTGGTGTTGGGGATGGCGATACATAAGGCTTGCATTGGACAATGCCCCGTTTTTGCGGATGTAACGAACTGAGATATGAAGAATCCCTTCCCCCTAATAATAAACGACCCCCCCCCCTATTTAAAAAAACATCCCGGCCAGCAAAACATTTTTTAGGGGTGTCTGCAACTGCGGTCCCCCTGTTCCGGTCTGAAAAATCGCATCACACGTACATTTCCGAGTAAGGAATTTAAGTAGCGGGAGCTGAGGTCATGTTTTGCTGTTTTTGCCTGCGGGTTTTGGATCACACAAAGGGACCTTTTTGAAGTGAGAGAGAGAGAGAGAGAGAGAGAGAGAGAGAGAGAGAGAGAGAGAGAGCGAGAGCGAGAGCGAGAGACAGAGAGACGTTTGAATCTACGGCACGCCTGCACGGTAGCCATCTGGTGAACGTGCTCCCGGAGCTCTGGCTCGAAAGTCGCAACTTTGTAGTACAGCCGTAAAGGAAACGTGCTCCCGGAGCTCTGGCTCGAAAGTCGCAACGTTGTAGTACAGCCGTAAAGGAAACGTGCTCCCGGAGCTCTGGCTCGAAAGTCGCAACTTTGTAGTACAGCCGTAAAGGAAACGTGCTCCCGGAGCTCTGGCTCGAAAGTCGCAACTTTGTAGTACAACCGTAGAAAAGGAAACGTGCTCCCGGGTCCCCCTAATGGGGCTGGATTTGAGTAAGTATTGAGTAGTATTCCCGGATTTGGGACTTCTGAAACAATTATCTATTATTATTATTAGGGAGACCTTTATTCCTAGGGGGAACGGATTATCAATAATTGCCTTCACAAATGCTCCTTCGGAGACAAGCATTTCGGCTGCCCACATGTCAGCTGCACTCTCCTGGTGGCAGCTCATACCTGGGGTGCTTTGAGTCAAGGCTCTCATTTGGGATATGGGTGCGTCTTTTCTTAGTGGACTCCCAACATGGTGGTTGTCCTTTTGGTGTCCCTTTAAATGTTGCTTCCCGGCAAGCTCACGTGGAACCCAAAAACAACAGCTTTCTCTGCGAATGAGGGCTTAGAGGGTCCTTGTTGATCTGCAGGTGAGTATGACCCCATGTTTCCAAGCCTTGTGGAGACTCCTGATGTGTCAAAAGGGTTCTGGGACGGTTTTCATATGAGCCACGGTCAAAATCACGAGGTTGAACAAAACTTGAGGAGCGGGTGAACGAAAGCTAGCAGTTGTTGCATGAGATGGGTCGGTGACAGAGTGGATTCATAGGTAGCTTGTGTACAACGAGAGGCCCGGCAAGATTCGTAGGATGCGTCACGCAAACGCACATGGTGGCGTGGCAAACCTTGAAAAATGAAAACAACGAGAGGCGTCAGAAGCTGTCTTAAAGCACCTCTGGGTTCTGCATGCAGCGTGTGCAAAGATTCTTGCGAGGTGGTTTACCGAGAAGACTGAGGTCTCAAGTGAACAAGCTGAATCGGTGGAACATGTAAAAGTTCGTAGCACCAAGTCCAAAACGGGCAAACCGAGACTGCTGAACACTGAGCCACTGCCCGGGGGGGGGGGGATGGACCAGGGAGGAATCGAGCCTGAGACCCGGGGGGGGGGGAGGGGGGGGGGGTCTAAATAATTGATATTTTTCAATCTTTTCGGCTCAAATAATTGAAAAAATCAATCTTTCGGCATTTGAGCCCCTTACCTTGCTTACGCAAGGAGAAACTTCAGCTAGCTAAAGCTAGCTTTCGTGAATAGTGCGTCCCAATTTGGTGACTCCTTTCCGTCCGTGGTAAAAGGGCCCCAAGTCCAGCCTGGACAGTGCCCCTTTCGGTGCTGAGTACATATTTCTGCAAGCTCAAGAGGAGTAAGAAGCCAGCAGCTGACAATGGTGCCATGAGCATGGATTCTGATTCCAACACCAACACTCACCTTCATCTTCCCCCACGCAAACACCAAAATGTGTACCACGTAAATCGAGGAAATTGAGCTGTTGGGGGGGACCCTCCCCGGCCACGCCCGGCAACGAGAACTCGCCCGCCTTCAGTCTCGCCTCGCCCCCTGCGACGAAAGAGCGGGCCAAGGCCCGGCTTTCAAGCGAAAGAAATGGGATTTGGCCCAGTGCCTCACAATCCCTCTCTGTGTCCAGAATGAAGGAGTTTTTCAACAGCATCGGCCAAGACTTCGTTCCCCAATACCTTGCCGGAACCCTCCAACCCTCCCAGAAGCGCAGATACCCCAAAGCTTTCTTTTAAAATAATAAAGGCCTCCCTCTAACAGGGCCACCCTTAATCAACCAGGGTGGGGTTGAGGTGTTTTTTTTACTAGCCCCGGCTTCTTACTAGCCCCGGCTCAGCACAAGGCCGTCCCCATGGTATTCTCTGGGGGCCTAGTTGGCCGTGGGCTGCATCCCCAGCATCCCCAGCATCACCTCTCTCGGACTAGGGCTGCCTATTGGCTTTGATTTGTTGGCAGTTCAGAGTTGTTCCGGGCTGGTTTCGGGTGAGTGTTTCCGGAGCAACTCTGAACTGCCAACAAATCAATGCCAATAGGCAGCCCTAGTCCGAGAGAGGTGATGCTGGGGATGCTGGGGATGCAGCCGCCCAGCTGAGCACCAACCAACCAGCCAACCAACCAACCAACCAACCAGTCCCCCGACCGGGGCTAGTAAAAATAGCAAAAAGGTTCCCCAGGGTGGTGAACACCAAGCACCATTTTGGGGGTCTCATGTTGAGACATACTACACGTCTCCCCATGTGTCGCGGCGTCACGCCTGGGTTGTTCTGCTCACCGGCTGCCTCCACAAAGTCCCCCCAGGTGTCAAAGCTCTGTCCTGGAAACGTCAAACGGCCGGGTTAGGCCGTGATCTGACACCAGTCAGCTTCCCTCTAATTGGTGATTTGGATTGGTTTGCAAAAAACGGGCCCAAACATCTTGGCACAAATTCATCCGGTCCCTTTGAACCCGCCTGGCCTCGGAACTGCTTGTCAAAGACATCGCGGCTCACCACCACAGAGATGTCATCTTGCGCCGCCGCCAGAAGACACGCGAAGCAAAGCACAGCTCCAGTTCGGATGCCCATGACGGCCCCTCAAGGGGCGCCAAGGGTTCAGCCGGCGAATCCAAAGCGGCGACAAGGCTCAACTAGGTTTCCTGTCAACCAGGCTCGCTGGCTCGCTTGCCAGCTTGCCCGCTCAATTCAGTTTCTGCTTGCTTCTGCCCTCTGCTTGCTTCTGCCTGCGTGCTTCTGCAGGCTTCGTTGCTTGTTGTTGCTGCTCGTCTTCTTGCTTGCCACCTTTACCTCTAGTTTTAGACAAGGCGCGTGGAATGTGAGTCTACACGCTATTCGCTGCTCTTGCACGTTGCAAGTTGTACTTGTCAGGTCCAAAATGGCTGGGGAAGCAGCTTCGGACAACACGACTTCACTTCCTGGAGCGAAGTCCTCTCACACAAAACAAAGAGAGCAAACAAAAACTCCTCAGTCCTGCAAAACTCTTCGAGAAGCACCATAAACCAACGCGAAGAGCATAGTGAAACAACCGAAACCTTCCACAGCCCCTTGAACATCAGCCATCTAATACAACAAATCACACCCATGGGAACATGGGGCCATGTGTCCATTTATCAGGGCAACCCGTTTTGGGTACTCATCTTTGACCCACGGCCAGATGACGCGTGTAAGCATCATGCGTGCGCTGGGCTGCCCCGCTGCCCCCTGCGGCCGCAGAGGCCGGGGCGGCGGCCGCGTCTTTCAGGCCCTGCGTGGCGTGGCATACGCAGTGAAGGAGCGGGCTTGGCTCAAATGGGTGGGTGTCAAAACGGGGGGAATTGTTCCTTCACGGTGGAAACCAGCCTGTCCAAATGTTTCAAGCTGTTCAGGCTTTGCAGACTTTGAGATTTCTCAGACTTGCCGGACTTGGGGGACTTGTGAGACTTTCAGAGTTTCAAACGGAAGACTTTGAAGACTTTAAGCTTTGAGACTGCGCAACACCCAGAAAGTCTGAAAAGTTTGAAAAGTCTGGAAAGTCTTACAAGGCCAGAAAGTGTATAACTCTGGAACTGCCGAGAAGCCTCGAAAACTCGCCGGGCAAGGAAAGTCACAACAAGATGTAGATCACACAGGTGCCTTGTGGCACATGTAGTTTATGTGTATATATATATATATGTATATGTATATGTTATGTATGTGTATACATATCTTGGGTGAATCCCCTCACCACTAACAGGGAGCACCAATAGGATTAGGTGCCCACCCAACCCCAAAACCCAAATTACTCCCTTTGCACCTTGGGGGGAGTTTTAGCGATTCGGACGCCAGTAATATTGGCCAGCCAGCTACAACTAGACGTGTAAACTTGCCAAATGCGTGACAAACAACAAGCGCGGCCGCCTGCTGGCGCTTCTTTCTCCACCACCAAGTGTGTGAGATGTCAGTCGTTCAAACTCCTTTTGAAGCCCCCGTGAGAAGCGCAGTTAATTTCCCAGCTTCCCCAACCCTCCCCCTTCCTCCGCCGCCTCCTGCCAAAAGCAATTTGGGTTCTTCTCGTTCTGTGCAACTGGGTCAGGTTCCCTTTAGTGCTCGGGGGGGACTACACACATACATATGTTACATATATATATATATATTATCTCATTATATTATATATATACATATACATATATATATATATTAGTAACATGTTACACTCTTGGGTCCCCACACCATCTGGTCAAACCGAAAACCGGGCGCACTGCAAGCTCCCGCGTCCCCGTCCCGGCCCGGGCCTGCGGCCGCACGGCCGGGGCCCGAGGAGAGCCGGCCACAAACATGACCTGGCTCCGAAAGGCACGTGCGTCAGAAATTCGAAACCCGTGTTTGCCCCAGAGCCTTGCTTCAAAAAAATGAAAAAGCAACTCATCTACCTCCATTGCCATGACTCACCCATAGTGCCCAGGTTGAGTATCAGCTTCCTCCAAATTGGTGGTTGGGTTGATGGTTTGAAGGGTAGGGGGACATGGAAAAAAAGGAAGTGGAGATCAAATTCCAACACCACCAATCCAAACCACCATGACCCTTCAAAAAGACACGGACATGGCTGGTTACCATCGGTTTTGAGGGCCTGGCATCAGCCCCGACGAAAGGAGGTACCCTCTCACCAACAAAGTGTGTGCAAACGCCTGAAGACCAAACCTTTCCTTTTGGAAAGAGTTCAACTGTGCATGTCCATGGTGAAGGGGTACTGGCCAATGCAAGGCACCCAAAAACGTGGAGACCCAAATCACATCAACAATCGACATGGCACCCGAAAAGGGGGGTGCTTCTTCCTCTTCAAAGGGGTGCCTGGTGGACTGAAGAATCCCCAATCCCAGCCACAATCTAATGCCATGGAAACCACTAACATCTGGAATAGTAAATTGTTGAACACCTCAGCAAGTTCGCAGGGACGATAAACCATGTTGACCTTGAACCCAACGGTTGGGGTGTCAACCACGCTTCAACCAGGAAGGTGTTGAATCCTTGGCTCACTTCCTGAGTAGCTTGGCCAAAGCCCAAGCCAAAAATCCGGGAAGTGAGTTGGCCATGGGTCAAAATCCAAATCGTACCCCCAGTGAACATCCCCACTAAAATAGGTTCTAAAATGGGTGGCGAATTCACCTACCAACCAAAATGGCATCCCAAAACGGATTTGACAACCACAGCCAAGTGACTGTTTCACCACGGCTCAAAGCCGTGGCCCCATTTTGTCGCCTGCACCGTGCTGGTCTGGTGAGGCTTCAGACCGGCACGACCCAGCGGCACTGCGCCATCCTCGGAGTCGCGTTCCTCTAACATGGTATCCACTACCTCCAAACCACTACCCAAGGCAAAATGGAAACCCCTATATAGCTATAGGACAGCTTGCTGTTTTGCAACTTTCCCTTGGGGCTGGTGGTTTGAGGGTAGTGGACACCATCTAAGAGTTCCAGGTGTTCCGGGCGGAGAAGTCTAGGTAGACAATCACTTCAGAACGCTAAAAAAAAATCACTTGTGAACGCTGCCACTTTCGATCACTTCCGAACACTAAAAAAAAATCACTTCAAAACACTGAGCACCCGGAACGCCGAAAGGGTTGCAAAACCCGGTCAGTCAAAAAGATCACTTCCGAACGCAGGCGTCCCAGCCCAGGATCACTTCCGTACGCAGGCAGGCGTCCCAGCCCAGGTGTGCAAAATCTAGTGGTTCTGGGGGGGTGGGGGGGGGGGGGGTGATAAGCACACCCGCTGAAGCTCTATACCCAAATGTGCAAATTCATCTGGTTCTGGGGGTGGGGGGTGGGTGGGGGGGGGCATGATAAGCACACCCGCTGAAGCCTATACCCAAATGTGCGTTGGCATGATGTTTGGGGGTGCGAATACTCTGGTCTGGGGTGGGGGGGGGACATGATAAGCACACCATAATCCCTGCACATCACAAACCATCAAGGGTGTCAGAACGCAAGGTGACGTCCCGTGGGACGCTATGCACCGAACCCTCCAGCTGTAATACCAACCACGTAGAAAGGTGTATACGGACGATGCCGTTATAGCCGAACCCGTGTAAACGTTGTAAGGGAGAAGGAATGATAGTTACAACAGTGGTCCTGACAAATGCAGCGCAAGCGAAGTGTTTTCCGCTCTCAATGCCGATCACGTATGAATGCAGCTACACATCAGATCTTGAACCTCAATTGTGTCTTGAGCCAAATGGCGATCAATGGAACTTGGAAAGCAACACCAACACAGACCTCAGAACAGCTTCCCAATTTAGGCACGGGGCCTAGAGGGTTTTAACATCCCCCATTTGGGTCGCATTGTTCATCATGCGGTCCAAACACCACAAAAACGTTCCACTGGCCACGGCTTCAGCTACGAAATCGTGTCGTGCATTCTTTTACTTGCTATCGCTACACCGTTCATTCGTTGTGAAACATGCCGGGTTCGATTGTATGAAAAGTGAAACATTCATCCACCAATCGAAGCGCACTCCCATATGCAGGTGTATACAATACACTATTGTCACGTCATTCGACCACCAGTGAACATCCCAGCTGCCGCATTTGCGCATCGCGCAGCCGTCATCCATAGAAAATGGGTTGGCCATAAGAGTCCAACAGAGGCGCCTGCTCGTAAGCAATCTGCATATCTCCGGCAAAGAAATGTCGGTGAGCAACCAAAGCAAATCATAGCCATTCCAGATACCATGGTCAATGTATAAATAATGAAAAGGAAATCATCCATTAGGTAATAGTCCCATCCATGAATATCCAGAATGTCATAGTCGTCGGAATATGTAACCATATACACATCCATTCAACTTGGACGCATGAAATCATATCATGACGTAAAGTCGTTCCAACTCAATAGTGTCGATGAGACGCAAGCAACGGATGGGGACTAACCCACATCGTGCCGCAATCATCATCTTCACTGCGCATACCTGTCCCCAATGGACAGTCTGTGAGTGCGTCGACGGAACTCCTCGTCCAAGTTCTTCTGGGCTTCTCGTGCCCGGACACACTTCTTGCTGTAATCCTCTGGTAGCCAGTGCCCTTTCCGAAGGCACCAATCCAGCAGAGGCGTGTCACACTTGTTCGGGTCGACGGCCGAGATGATGGCGCTCACGTTGACCGCGTAACCATATTTGCCAAGGTTCAGGCCATCCCTCACGAATGATATATACTTACAGTTGAAAGCCAGTGAAAAGCATCTGAAAATAATATCACCCACCGGGTGCACTCGGTCCTTGACCAGGAGCTTCATTTCGTCCTTGGTGACATCGAGGATTCTCGCTGCACTCCACAGCTTGTAGAATGTGTATAGTCCCTCGCATTTGCACACCATCATACGAATATATTCGTCACGCTCCTCAACCGATCGGAAGGCTCTTGTCCGAACATTCTCCGATTGAGAAATCTTCAGTGTTGTTGATGGCAAAAGTATACCTTCCTGATCGTGCTCAGTCATGTTGGGGTATCTCTTGAAGTCATTGTGGTAAGGGCAGCCCGGTCTCCCCTCGAGTTGGGCATTCATCGTCCTCTCCTCACCACCCTCGAACATCCCCCACATCTTGGACATCTGGAGTGC